CTCTCACTATCTCACTACCTGTCAATCTATCTCTATCTTTCTCTGCCCTCTCTTTTTCTCTCCCTCCCTCTCCCTCTCACTATCTCACGCAGTCAGACCCTCACAATTAACTCACACACACACACACTCACAATAAACTCACGGGGTCCTCCGAGGACTAATATTTCCTGCCATAACTCACAGCTTTCCCCTCAAGTATATTGATTATCGGAAAGTGATAATGCTATATCTCAACTGTTGGGAAATTTGACATTAGAAGTTCCTGAAGGAGGATATTCCTGAAGGAAGATGCGGAGCGGGGAAGGAGGAGAGGAGGAGGAGAGGAGAGGGAGTGGGAGGGGAAGAAGGAGGAGGGGGGGGAGAGAGGGGAGTGAGAGGGGTGAGAAGGGAAGAGGGAAGGAAGGAAGGAGAGAGAGAAGGGAGTGGGGAGGAGGAGAGAGGAGAAGGAGGAGGAAGGGAAGAAGGAAGTGGAGAGGAAGGAGGAAGGATAATGGAGGAGTAGGAAGAGGGGAGAGGGGAGAAAGTGAAAGGAAGAGGAAGGAAAAGGAGGGAGGAGAAAGGAGAATAGGCATGGAAAGGAGGGAGGAGAAGGAAGGGAGAAGAAACGAGGAGAGGATGTAGGAGAAGGAAGGAGAATAGGAGGAAAAGGAAGTGAAGCGTAGGAGAAAGGACGAATGGAATAGGGAGGGAGGAGAAGAAAGCAAGGAAGAGAAGAGCAAAAGGAAATGGGGAAAGGAGAAGAAGAAGAAAAAAAAAGCAGGGGTGTTGGGGAAGCAGAACGCAAGGGAAACAAAAACAAAATAAGAGAAGAAACTTCGATATGAACTTGCCAAGGGGACGAGAGTTATAGGACTTCCAAGAAGGGGAGAAGTGATAGGCAGGACACAGTGATCAGAGATAGAACCTCAGGCAGATAGGCAAGTGGCCGAAAAATGAAGGAAATGTGTAGCATGTATGTGGTTCGTGCAGCCATTAGTGTGTGTATAATGTTTGTGAGTATATGAGTGCCTATAAACAAGTCTGTGATAATGTGTATCACATTGCTAGCAGGTTTGGTATATTTTGCAAAGCTCAAAAAATAAGAAATATTTTTCAAATCAAGAGAGAGCAAAGAATAATTAATGGATTGATAGAGATGTATGTATGTATATGTATATAGGTGTGTATGTGTGTGTTTGTATGTCTGTGTGTACGTGTGTGTATGTGTATGTGTGTTTATGTGTGTGTTTGTATGTGTGTGTGTACGTGTGTGTATGTGTATGTGTTTTTATGTGTGTTTGTGTGTATGTGTTTGTGTGTGTATGTGTATGTGCGTTTATGTGTGATTGTGTGTGTTTATGTGTGTGTGTATGTGCGTTTATGTGTGTGTTTTGTGTGTTGTGTGTGTATATGTGTATGTGTTTTTATGTGTGTGTATGTGTTTGTGTGTGTATGTATGTATGTGCGCTTATGGGTGTGTTTGTGTGCATTTGTGTGTGTGTGTGTGTTTATGTGTGTATTATGTGTGTGTTTTTTGTGTTTGTGTCTGTGTGTATGTGCGTGTGTGTTTATGCGTTTGTGTACACCCTTGACTATGCACACAACCATCCAAATAATACCACAATACGAAAAAAAAAAAAAAAAAAAAAAACGAAAAAAAACGACATAAAAACACAAATTCCCCCAGCCGAGTCCCGGAACAACAGCTGCTTCGAAAACCCCCCAACGGCAATCTTGTGCAAATGCGAGAAATAAAAGAGAAGACGACGACCTCACCAAGATGTCAATGGCTGCCGATTTTTCCCGATTTCTTACGGTCCCGATTACCGCCGGACCGAGTAGATAGAGATAGAGTAGATAGAGCGATAAAAGAGAAGTGGCCACGTACCTCACTTCACGCCCGCCGATGGCCAGTACCTCCTAGGCAGACGGTTATGATTATGGCTGCAGGCGGTGGCAGGCGCGTCCCTTCCTTCTGCAGTATTGGGGGGAGGTTTGCACGGGGGAATGGTGCTGGGAGAGATTGGGTGGGGTGGGGAGGGATGGGGTGGAGGGGGGGTGGGGGGAGGGTGGGGGGTGAGGGTGGAAGGGTGGGTGGAAGGGTGGAGGGGGGGGTGGAGGGTGGGGGGGGGTGATTTATTATTAGTGTGGGTCATTATCGTTTTAATTTTTCCCCTATGGACAGAAAAGAGAAGGTATATATATATATATATATATATATATATATATATATATATATATATATATATATATATATATATAGAGAGAGAGAGAGAGAGAGAGAAGAGAGAGAGAGAGAGAGAGAGAGAGAGAGAGAGAGAGAGAGACAGACAGACAGACAGACGACAGACACACACCCAAAGACAGAGAGACAGAGAGAGATTATAAAGATTATCAGAGTCGGCAAAAGGGGATAAAATTAAATCTCATATATCGAGAAACAAAGGAAAAAAGAGAATCAGATAGGAAACGTAGATGAGAATAAAGAGGAAAGGAAAAGAGAACACACGACAAAGAGAAAGAAAAGAAAACTTCACACAGAGACAAGAAAAAAAAACACAGACAAGAAAACAAAGAAAAGAAAGAATTGAAAAAAATAACGCACCCAGAAAGAAGAAAAGAAGAAGGAGAAAAAACGAAAAGAGAAGAGAAAAGATGAAAATGAGTCGAAAAAAAGTGGAAAACAAACAAAAGAACAATCGAAGAAGAGAAAAGAAGAAAAAAAAAAGAAAAAAAGAAAACAATGAATAAAAGAAGAGGATAATAATAAAAAAAGACAACCAAAGGAGGTCCAGCAACAAAAGAACACAAAGATGAAGAAGACAGGAAGAGAGAGACTCGGATAACTGATCCTCTTTGGCTTCGTTTCTGCGACGCTTCCAAGATGTGGCATCTTGACTTACCCGAAAGATGTCCTGAAAGCTAGACGTCTGACTTTGTGTTCCGTCTTTCTCCTGCTTTGTGTGTTTTTTCTCTCTCTCTCTCTCTCTCTCTCTCTCTCTCTCTCTCTCTCTCTCTCTCTCTCTCTCTCTCTCTCTCTCTCTCTCTCTCTCTCTCTCTCTCTCTCTCTCTTTCTTGCTTCTTTTTTTCTCTTTTTAATCTTGTTTTTTTTTTCTCTCTATCTCTGTCTGTCTGTCTCTCTCTGTCTGTCTGTCTCTCTCTCTCTCTCTCTCTCTCTCTCTCTCTCTCTCTCTCTCTCTCTCTCTCTCTCTCTCTCTCTCTCTCTCTCTCTCTCTCTCTCTCTCTCTCTTCTCTAATCCCTCTGTCTCCCCTTATTTCTTACTTAATTGCCCTAATTTCCTCTAGTTCCTACTGCCTTAATCTCTTCCTCCTTCTCTCCCTCTCTCTCACCTCCTCTCCCCTCCTCCTCCTCCTCCTCCTCCTCCCTCCATCCTCCCCACCTCCACCCTCTATCACCTCTCCCTTCCCCCTCCTCCCCCCTATCTCTCCTAATCCTCCTCCCTCCTCTTCCTCTCCCCCTTCCTCCTTCCCCCCCCTCCTCCTCCTCCTCCCTTTCTATCCTCCTCCTCCCTCTTCTTCCTCCTCCTCCCTCCTTCCCCTCCTCTTCCTCCCCCCTATCCTTCCTCCTCCTCCCTCTCTCTCCTACCCCTATCTCTCCTCCTCCTCCCCTCCTTCCCCTCTCCTCCTTCCCCTCTCCTCCTCTTCTCTCCCTTCGAAGTCTTTTGATGTCAATCCATCTCATTCAGGCGGAAGATGCTTGTTAGATATCTTCCTCTGGATCTGTCATTAGAGCGAGGCTGACGAAGACGTGAATAGACAGATGGATGGCTGTGTGATCACGTGCTTGTTCATTCATGCGTGTGTGCGTATACGGATATATATGTATGTATGTAAGGAGGGATGCAGGGCGTACATTACGCATTTATAGATGGTATGTATGTGTATAATGATATTTATGCGCGCGCACAATACATAAACACAGACCACACACACACACACAGCACACACACACACACACACACACACACACACACACACACCACACACACACACACACACAACAACACACACACACACACACACCACACACACGCACACGCACACACACACACACACACACGCACACACACGCACACACACACACACACACACACACACACACACACTTGTATCCGTTACAAATGACGGGCCAAAAATGGAGACAAGAAACGGAAATAAATAAAAGAGAAACCACAGAAGATGAATTGTTGACTTGATCTTCATCCGGCACGTTGTTTCCCCTTCCTTCCCCTCTCTCCCTTCCTTCCTTCCTCCCTTCCCCCTCTTTTCCCTTCTTTCCTTCCCTCTCCCCTTCCCCCTCCTTTCCCTCCCTTCTCTTCTCTCCTCTCCCTCCCTCTTCTCTCCTCTCCCTTCCCCTCTCTCCCTTCCTTCCCTCTCTCCCTTTCCCTTCCCTTCCTCCCTTCCTCTTCTCTCCTCTCCCTCCCCTTCCCCTCCTCTCTCCTCCTCCTTCCCTTCCCCTCCTCCCCTCCTCTCCTCTCCTTCCTCTTCTCCTCTCCCCTCCCTTTTCCTTCTCTCCTCTCCCTTTTCCTTACTACCCCTTTTTCTCCCCTCTCTTCCCCTTTCTCAACCCCTTTCCTCCTTCTTTTTCCTCATTTCCCCTTCCCTTTCTCTTTCCTTCCATTTCCCTTCTTTCTCCCTCCCTCCCTTTATTTCCCCCTTCTTTACCCCTTTTTCTCCCCTTCTTCCCCCCCTCCCCTCCTTTCCCTATCTCTCCCCTCCCTTCCCCTTTCTCAACCCCCTTTCTCCTTCTTTTTCCTCACTTCCCCTTCTCTCCCCTCCCTCCCCCTTTCTCTGTCTTCCATTTCCCTTCTCTCCCTTATTCATCCCCTTCTTTACCCCATTTCTCCCCTTTCTTCTTCCCCCCTTCCCCTCCATTCCCCATCTCTCCTTCCCTCACTCCCCCTTTTTTTCCCTCTATTTCTCCCTTCCTCCTTTCCCTTCATTCATCAACTTTTTTCCCTTCCTTCCCTCTCTCTCCCTCCCTCTCTGCATCTATCCTTCTCCCTCTCATTCTTCCCAACCTCATCGAGAGGGATGGAGAGAGAGAGGGAAAGAGAAGCCAGAGAGAGCCAGAGAGAGAGAGGAGAGAGAGAGAGAGAGAGAGAGAGAGAGAGAGAGAGAGAGAGAGAGAGAGAGAGAGAGAGAGAGAGGAGAGAGAGAGAGAGAGAGAGAGAGAGAGAAGACAGACAGACAGAGACAGAAACAGAATCAGAAACAGAAAGACAAAGAGAGATAAAGAGATAAAGCGAGAGATGAAAGCAAAAGGTACGAGAGATAGAGAGAGAGAGAGAGAGAGAGAGGACGGACGGAAAAAAGAGAGACTTACGAGAAAGAGGGATGCGGGAAAAGGATGAAATAGAGGGATAGATGAAGGTGGGGGATAGGAGTGTCGACCCGTAAAGCATCGACTCCGCTGGCAAAATATTGCTAATGAGATCTCCGAAATACGGGATTGTCCTTGACGCTCTATATTCCCCAGAGAAGGGAATAATTTTTCGAGTTGTGCGGGGGATTCCAGTGGGTGGCGTGAGGGCGCGAGGGCCTGAGTGCGTGAGGGTTTAGAAGGAGGCGGTGAAGGGTGAAGGATAGAGGGAGAGGGGGAGAGGGGAGAGAGAGAGAGGGGGGGAGGTGGAGAGGAATTCAAGAAGGAAGACGAGATAAAACAAATAGAAAGAGAGAGACACAAAGAAAGATTTAAAGAAAGATTAGGGTTTAGAAGGAGGTGGTGAAGGGGAAGGATTAGAGAGAGAGGGGGAGAGAGAGAGGAGAGAGAGAGGGGGGGGAGGGGGGGAGAGGAATGCAAGAAGGAAGACGAGATAAAACGAATAGAAAGAGAGAGACACAAAGAAAGATTTAAAGAAAGATTAGGGTTTAGAAGAGGGTGAAGGGGAAGGATAGAGGAGAGAGAGAGAGGGGGAGGAGGAGAGGAATGCAAAGAAGGAAGACGAGATAAAACAAATAGAAAGAGAGAGAGACAAAGAAAGATTTAAAGAAAGATTAGGGTTTAGAAGGAGGCGGTGAAGGGTGAAGGATAGAGGGAGAGGGGAGAGAGAGAGGAGAAAGAGAGGGGGAGGGGAGGGGAGAGGAATGCAAGAAGGAAGACGAGATAAACAATAGAAAGAGAGAGAGACAAGAAAGATTTAAAGAAAGATTAGGGTTTAGAAGAGATAAAGGGTGAAGGATAGAGGGAGAGGAGGAGGGGAGGAGGGAATGCAGAAGGAAGACGAGATAAAACAAATAGAAAGAGAGAGACACAAAGAAAGATTTAAAGAAAGATTAGGGTTTAGAAGGAGGGTGGTGAAGGGGAAGGATAGAGGGAGAGAGAGGGAGGGGGGAAGGGGAGAGGAATGCAAGAAGGAAGACGAGATAAAACAAATAGAAAGAGAGACACAAAGAAAGATTTAAGAAAGATTAGGGTTTAGAAGGAGGTGGTGAAGGGAAGAGAGAGAGAGAGAGGGGAGGGGGAGGGAGGAGAGGAATTCAAGAAAGAAGACGAGATAAACAAATAGAAAGAGAGAGACACAAAGAGAAGATCCGGAGTTGTTTTGGGTGTGCGGCGGGAGTAAGAAGGGAGAATGGGAAAGACGAATTCAAGAAGAAAGAGGAGAAGCGAGAATTAGAAAATAAAAGAAAGAGAGTCGACAAGAAGAACAAAGAAGAAAGAACAGATAGATAACCAGAACAGACCAAAGGAAATAAAAGCCAAAGAAAGAAAACAAACAAAAACAACAAAACAACAACAAAACATTTATCCAACGACAACAAAACACCGAAGACAAAATAGAAACAAAAGAAGAGAAAAAAAAGAGAAAAAAAATAAACGAAGAAGGAATATCGCAATCAGAGCAACTTGCAGATGATCCCCTCGGTTTATTGTTGTTGTGATGATGCAAAGAGCGACTTATTGCAAGACACTTTCTGTGGCTCCGTTGCCGTCGGGCGTCAGCGGGAGTCAGCAGGCGGGGGGGGGGGTCAGCGGGAGGTCAGCAGGGGGGGGGGAGGCAGTGGAGGTCAGCAGGGGGGGTGGGGTCAGCGGAAGGTCAGCAGACGGGGGAGGCAGTGGGAGTCAGCAGCGGTCAGCCGGAGGTCAGCGGGGGGGGGGGTCAGCGGGAGGTTCTCGGGGAGGGGGATGGGGGGGGTAGCAGTTGGAGTAGGGGTAGGGGGGAGGATGGGTGCCTCGGTAAGATGTGATTTTTTTAATGATGTATATATATATATATATATATATATAATATATATAATATATATATATATATATATATATATATATATATATATAATATACCACACACACACACCACACACACACACACACACACACACACAACACACACACACACACACACACACACACACACACACACACACACACACACACACACACACACACACACACACCACACACACACACACATACATGCTCTATACATACATATACATAATGATGATGATAAATGAAGTATTTAATAAAATCACAGCAAGGCACACGAGGACGACTTCTGTTCGGGCGAGGAAAGTCCGATAAATTGAAGCGTTTTACAACCCGATTAGCGCCATGACGATCATCGCATTTTTCTTGTCGGAAAACACTGATTTTACGGTCTATCGTGTGTGATACGGCGGGTTCTTGGCGCTGTTTCTCAAGGGCGTGTTCTCGGTAAGGTTTCCTCTTCTTTTTTTTTCTAGTGTTTCTTCTCCTTTTTCTTTTTTTTTCTTTCTTTTTCTTTCTCTCCTTCTTCGTCGTCATCTTTTTACTCTTATTCTTTTTCTTATTCTTATTTTTTTCCTTATTCTTTTTTCTTCTTATTATTCTTATTCTTTTTCTTTCTCCTTCTTCGTCGGAATCTTTTTACTCATTTGTTTTTCTTCTTTTTCTTCTTTTTCTTTTCTTATTCTTTTTCTTATTCTTATTCTCTTTCTTATTCTTATTCTTTTTCTTCTTATTATTATTTTTCTTTTCTTCTATTTCTTTCTCTTCTTTTTCTTTTTCATCTTCTTTTATAAGTAATAGGCGGGTAACGTCACTTCTACGCAGTGAAATTGGATATCAATATTTTTTGTATATTATGATGTCTATTATCATGTGTTTGTGTGTGAGTGAGGTTATGTGTGTACCCTCCGTCTCTCTCTCTCTCTCTCTCTCTCTCTCTCTCTCTCTCTCTCTCTCTCTCTCTCTCTCTCTCTCTCTCTCTCTCTCTCTCTCTCTCTCTCACTCTTTTTCACACATGCAATAGAAGTAGATGGAAAGAGAGAGAAAGAGAGAGAAAGAGAGAGAGAGAGAGAAAGACGGACAGACAAACAGACAAGTAGACATGAGATAGATTGATACTTAGATAGATAGATCGATCGATAGATAGAGAGGGTGAGAAGAGAGAGAGAGAGAGAGAGAGAGAGAGAAACGGCGAGAGATTCCCTTACATCATATCAGTACTAATTAAGGCATGTTACTTAATGGACAATCTGTAGCATCTTGAGAGTACATACCACTAATTAATGCAGGTACATAAAATACATAATATTATTTCTTTATCCACCGAAAGAGGATCGAGAAAACACACTTTAATTAGAGAAAGAATAATATCGTGTAATGTTATGATTTCTCAATGATGTCTCTTCACAGTATTAAATTTATTTGTTCATTATTGTTACGTAATAATATATTCTTGTATATATATATATCTATATTTGTAGAAATGTATACGTCCCTCCATGTAAATGGTCAGACGTAAA